TTAGATGTGAATGAAGATTTGAATGCTGTCAATGTTAAGGCTTACTTGCATGCTGAAGGGCTAAATGGAAATAAAATCCAAGGCCATTCACTCCGCTTCAAAAATGACCCAGCAGGTCTTTTCATACCCTTTCACTCATCTTGTGAAGCTACTGCAAAATGCTTACAAATGTTTTTTAAAACATTTGTATAAAATGAGTTTTGAATATGTTATAATATTAAAATATTATAACATATTCAAAACTCATTTTATAAAGTTTCAATAGATAGAAAACATGTAACTGAGCTTTTGCCCGACCTTTTTGACACTATAAATTTTTTTCAAATGAAACGGCTCATTAAGCAAATTAATATTTTTTCAACGAGCACTTAAAGTCATTTATGTGTTTTCTATTATTATGAGTTATACACGCACGCGAGACATGTTACAGTGTTTTGCCAATTTCGAAAGGCGTTAAACAGTTATGTGTAGGAACGCAGAAAGAAATGTTTTCTTGGAGTCTGGATGTATCCGTTAAAATAAGGTGATCAGCAGTGACAAAAATGAAGTAAATTTTTTAATTTTTACATTATTTGTTTTAATCAATTGTTCCTGTTTAAATTCATTTTTCCTTTTCTTTTACTAGTCTTCTTTATTATTTACTCAGGTTGCATTGTAAAGTCCACTGAAGAAATTTGGATTTTAGAGTCAAAATCAGTGTTTTTATTATTAGTGTTATTATTGTTGTTGGTATTCCTTTCATGTACAGTTTTAAACAAGAAGACAATATACTCGTGTAAAAAGGGCTATGCAAAACAAATAAAAACCGCGAGTGTTTTATGACAAAATATACCTACAAAATGGCTATAAATAAAAGACTCATAAAACGGTCACACGTTGTGGCCGCACCTAACGTGCATACGACGCATGTGTACATTTATTTCAACGTTTAACTGGTTCACAGCGGTTAATTATTAATTTCTCTGCAGTTCATGCAGGACCCCAGGCTTGGCCCACAAGCCCAATATTTGAATTTACGACGAGCTGGTGAATCGTATTTGGAGCCTCCATGTATGTCTATAATTGAACTCTTTCACATTGGCTGAGATAGAAAAGCTTTAGGGAAACTACATAGGCTCGTAGGCTCTGTGTACGTTACTTTCCACTCACGTTTTTTAGTAGCAATTATATTCGCGTGGCAGTAGTAACTTGTGGTTCAAGAGCTGAAAACATGGTTAACATTTAAGAATTCCCCACGTTGCAAACGAACTACAAACAAATGCATTACACGAAGTTGCTTAGGACGCTAGTGAATTATTTTGTCTCCGACAATGTCTACTCAATAAATGTGCACCTTGAAGTTCATGTATTATTCCCAAAGGTAAAGAGAAAAAGCATTTGATCGTTTCACCATAACATAAATCAATAAAGAAGTAATCGAAAAGAAAATGTTTTAAACATTTCTTAAACGCTACATAAAACAACAACAGCGACTAGTTATCGTTAGCAATATTTCACTTCTGTTAGTGTCACTGTTTGATAAAGCTTTAGTTATCTGATGTCCTTATCCACAGCAAATGAATACATGCATTCACATTTTCCGCGTATCGTCGAAAAGAGAAGAAAGTACTGAATCAGAATATCGGGGTTGGTTCTGTGTTTCCCAGCTGGCTGCTGAAAGGGGCAGATGTAGGCCAGTAAACGAGTGGATGTTTTCATAAAAGCTATAAAAATGTTTCCGAAATGTTTTTCAATTGAATCCTGTCCACTGGGAGCTCAATAGAGCGTACATGTATCTAATTTCCCACCGGAATCCTACCTTGGCAGCGTCTCTTTTTCGGCCAAAATTCAAAGAGGGCAACAGTGCATAAGAGAGGATAAAATGATTCATTAAATTTAAAAAGTTAAAAAACATCAAATTGTCGAGCAATAATTCCTGGGTTGAAGACATCTGCATTTTTTTTCTAGGGGAAATTGGATTTGGTACTTTTTAATTTTCTCGAAACTCAAGTTTTTGACGAGAGTGAAATCTCACAGTAGCCGTAGCTCTACACTTCTTTGGTGTCAACTCGTAACGGTAAACTGCGACATGCAATTTTAATTGTAATTAAAATATTAAAATATTTACAGTGTGACTGAATAATCACAGGGCGGGATACAATGTTACACTTGAGAAAAGCAGTTTGGGTGTGTCATATGAAATACGCATTGAAAGGCATTATGGGCTTTTATTTGACAGTCTTTTCCAAAATTGACCAGAGGACAACTTGCACATGGTGTCAGGTGGTAAATAACAGGAGGTCATCAAGCTGGATTGTCTATGAAGCAGATTGCCAAGCAGTACCGAATAACAGAATAGATTTACAGGTCTATAGCACAGCACTCAGAATGGCAGAAAAATGATGTCAAACGAACCATGTCAAACGAACCAGGTCTCAATCTAGTCGGACGATACGAGCAAATGCAGGACATAACAACCGACTTGTCAAACTAGGTCATTAGATTTACTTCATGTCGACAATGCAACATGGAAATATTTATTAAACTTCACTGCACGCCGATACAGTGTGAAGATGGGTCCCTAGCTGGGGAAGACACGCTCGCTATTAATTTCCCGCTGTTTCTGATTTCATATTAAATTATATTGTTATCAATACGGAGATTATTTTACTTTATTTTTTACAATAAGCTGTTTTAATTAAGAGCTATATGGTCCACTGGGCCCTAGCCAGGAGGTATGTTTATTTTTAGAACCATTTTGTTAACGAAGGTATTCGCATTATTTACAGTACAGTGTGTTGTATTGGTGTATTTTAATAGAAATGTCCTATCCCACAAAATATTCATGGAATATGAAAGAAAAAGACAACCCCATTGGAATAATAAATAACGACCGCGATACTGTACTAGAAGGTTTTGAATATCCCAAGGTATTGCTTTACTTATGACCAGTGTAACATTTTTAAATTAAAATCACTTACTGCGAACCACATGTATGTATGTATGTATGTATGTTTGTTTGTTAGTTTGTATCTATGTATACTTATAGTACGAGGTTTCATGCGTTCACCCTTCTTTCTATTTATGATCCCGGCCAGAATAAATAACTGGGAAAAGATGGTCAACTAGCAACTCAACAGTGTGTCGGGTTTTTTTTATTTTATTTATTTATTTATTTGATTGATCACCCTCACCCGCCTTTCCTCACCATCGCACTTCTGAAAAGCCAATCACGACCTTTTGCAGTTATTTTTCAGTTATGTCCACCCATATCTTTCAAGCGGGAGCACTTAAATATACCTTACATATCAAAGAGGTCACCTAAAAACGTTAAAAAGGAGCGCAGTACTTTATAGTGCTAGTATGCTTCTGAGTTGAAAAATTATCTAAGATGCAATTTTACCCCATAAAATACAAGAGACGAGAGCGGATATTCAAAAAACAAGAATATTGTAGTCCATAACAACTAAAAACCTTCCAGTATCACTTACAAAGTAACTCGTTTCGCCATCTATTGGCAAAGTCACAAACTAAGCTAATCTTGACACTGTAAAACACCGACCACCGTATACTGCAGCAATACCTCACAAATACGTCTTAATAATTTTTTGGTATTAACCAATTCACAACAGGGGGTACCTCAATGAATTGTTCGTTACTTATACTGATCTCGATACTTAATTTAACTCACGGGCTGCTTTGTGACAATGCATGGGGCCAATACTGGTACCGCCATCTATTGGCAAAATAAATAACTAAGCTAATCTTGACATAGGTATCTGTATATACCTATATTTATGTTCATTCATATTCAATAGAAATCAAAATAGAAGATAGAAAGCAATGCACTGAACTGAACTGTTAGCTACTGATACCCGTTGTCATGCACACTCATTTATAATATCAGAGGCGGGAACTTACGGACGAGGAATATCAGATGCGGGTACTTACGGACGAGGACGGAAGTAGGCCTACACAACTGAAACTAGTCGTAAGTGTATTTATATTTATTTTGTTTATGGCGTAATGTATGTTATATCAGGAACGTCTGTGTGGTTGTTCAGGTACTTGCAATACGATATTTCTGTCATGGTAAGCATTAGGTCTCCTTCCTCACGGAGGCTCTTTTACGACACGGTGGCAAAATGGAGAATGCGTTTATTTTCGAATAGCCTGGCACAACTAACACAATTGTTGTCATTTTTCCTGTTTTGTCGTACAGTTTTATTTATTCTTTCATCGTGTACATAATTTTATTTATTTTTTCTTTCATTGTATATTTTATCTATTTTGATGTGTTATAGGCCCCCCAAAAGTAAATGCCTAGTGACTGTACGCATGTGGCTGCATGTAGGCCTACATGTATTCGAATGATTGTATTGGCCTACGTACTGTAGGGCCTATATAGCATGTCCTTTTTTATTAATTAAACTTTGTTTATATGAAAGAAGTGGGGTGGGAAAAGTTTTATAACCCACAAGATAAGGACACAGATACAGTTGTACCGGTATTGTGTGCAGTTAATACAGTTGCAAATAAAACCGCACTCTGTTATTCGAAATTTTATTTCGTTGCCTACTTACTTTTTCTTTGTTCCGTTTTCCGATGAATATCGTCTAGAATAATTGAACTTGTCAAATCAATTATATACACTGAGCTTATATAGAAATGTCCAATTCAAGGTAATGTAATTTATAAAGTGTATCTAATAAGCTACTCCAGAGAGACTGTGGTTTTGGTAATGCACAATTTTATTTTCTTAACTGAGACTGGAATACATACAATTATATATTTACCTGCCTGAGCATTTATTCGATAATTAAGCATCCTCCTACGATATTTGATTTTTCTTCTTTACAGCAGAAGTTAGTTGGCATATGTCCGTAGATCTGAGACACGTTGTTCTTCAAAAATGATTTTTTTTTTTTTTTTTTTTTTTTTTTTGCTTTTGTATGTCAACACTGGTAGTGACACAAATCCTTCATACATTGTATGATTGAGTTATATGACCTCTAGATCTGTTACACTATTGAACTGTCGCCGTCGCTGTTATGTGTAGCTGGTTCAATGTTGGCTATTTGTTCTTGTAGCTGAGATATTTCTTGTTGTAATTTCTCCTGTAACGTCTCCTTGATCCTCGCTGCTCTTCTCCACACGACAACAATCACCACCAGCAGCACCACGACCGCTACTGCCAGCGTGATTGTTACTGCGACAACGTTGTTCACATTTGTTTCCACTGACCTGATATTCTGAGTATTTTTCTGGATGCCTTTGGATTCAGATTGCAGCCTGTTAAATAGGGGGAATCCTGGAGAAAATGAAATACATGTGAGTGAGTGAAATCGGTAGCAGTCCGTTTGTTACTATGAAATGTATACTAGAAACAAACAGACAAGAAAATGACACCGCGAGTGAAATTAAATCAGTTGCACTTCAGTCGTTCCTGTAAATACAGATGCAATAAATATGTACGAGCGACAGAAGAAATAAGTATATACCAAAGAAGAAAAATGTACATACTAAAGAAACTCAACACATCTGGATAGTAAATTATAAATCCCGTAGAAACATGTTTTTCTAATTGTGTATTAGATTTGACAAAAGCTAACTTAGTGCAGTTTTTCATGCCGTACGTATAATAATGAAAAACTTATATTAGGTTGTTACAACTAGACCTACTAAGAGTGTAAAGGACGGATTTTAATGGATACAAATAATGGTATAAGCATGATGTTGTTCTCTAGTGTAAAGATATCTAAAAGAGATTAAATATGATATATCATTCGAGGAATCGGTCCGGCAATTCGGCCTATCGCCTCTCATACTTTTTTAATACTTACTGAAAATATTTGGTCCTCTCGTTGTGGTCCCTCCAACGTTAAGTCTAAAGTTCTGTCCAAGGTTTAGTCTAAAGTTTTGTCCAAAGTTCTGTCCGAAGATCCCTGTATTTAAGACGGATGAACGGGTTGCAGCTGACAAAAGAACGAAAGCAATGTTATTGTATCTATGTTCAGGTGTTGCACACTCTAACTCCGGCTACTCTATACAATTACACATTTACGATGTACACAGTACGTGTATAAAAAGCGAAAATAATAGAAAAAAAGTGTTTATAATCTGACTGACCAACAGATGGGGAATGAACAACCGACAAAGTAAAAATATCGATGTTGTCTTCAAAGCAATCAAGGACCCTCCTCCTCAACCCTTCAAAATTGAAAAAAAAAAGTTTACGAACGATGTGCGGTAAAGTCAATTAGGCTTGTAACCCCCTCCCCCGCCCCCGGATCTGCCAGGCCAGTGCGTTAACCGAAAAAAAAACCAAACTCACCGAAATTTTGGTTCCTAAATATGGTGAGCCCCCTGTTGTTCTGTCCAAAACGCGGAGTGTTTCCGGCGCTCGCGGTTGTACCGAAACCTGCACTGGTTTGGAAGCCTCCTAAGGTACCACGGCCTGTTCCAAAAGGTAGACCAGCTGGGGTCGTCCGGCCTCTGTTTGGTAGGATTAGTATCATTCCTGAAAAAACGGAATGAAATGTGCTTTCAATTTTGGTACGCAGTGATATGATTTCGTGCCGAATGGTGTGCGTGCGTGCGTGCGTGCGTGCGTGCGTGTGTGTGTGTGTGCTAATTCAGTTGTGTGTATCTTCATGTACGTATGTGTACGTAAAGCAGAGAGAGAGAGAGAGAGAGAGAGAGAGAGAGAGAGAGAGAGTCAAAAATTTGACTGATTATCCTACCTGGGGATCCTTTGGAGCCCTTCATCCCTCTGTTACCTCTCCTCCCTTTGTTGCCTTTCATCCCTCTGTTGCCTTTCATTCCTCTGTTGCCTCTTCTCCCTTTGTCGCCTTTCATCCCTTTAATCCCATTGAAACCCGGCATCCCTCTATCGCCCTTCATTCCTTTGGAACCTGTCCCTCTGTTGCCTTTCATGCCTTTCATCCCTTTCAAACCTGGTAGCCCTCTGTCGCCTTTCATACCTGAATTGAAAAATAAAGCTAGAGGTTAGACGGGTTTTCCAGCTATTTAGTTGGTTCGCACAGTTCAACAAAGAGTCATATTTTTCTAATTTCAAATAATTATGATCGTGTGTTAATGAAGGTGGGTTTTTATGCAAAAATCAGTGTGACACATATAACACTTGCAATAAATGTAGCCACGAACAGCCCTATATTCATATGAAATAAATCGAGGTATTCACCCATAAATGCATTTATAGACCATTCTTATGTTTTTTTCTACTTTGGTTGAATAATCTTGGTAGATTGATTTTTTGATTAACGTATACAGGTATAATAGCAGACCACAAACAGCTGATTTTAAGCGTTTCATCGAATGCAACGGAGAGCCAAGCATCTACTGTCTTCTGACAAACACCGCACGTACTGTACGTCTACGATAAACAAAGGCATCAGCGTGTTCCTGTAGCACATTGTATCATCAGGCCAACAGATTAAAGTGACTTCTACAACCTGAACCTGAACCTGGACTAATAACAAATAGCCCATAAATAGATTAATAATACAAAGTCGTTCAATTGACTTCCATATGCAACATGACTTCCACATACCACTATAGCATGACGCCATGCCAGCAGGACGACGAAAATACTACGTCGATTGTGTCACATTTATTTTTTGATTACACGATACCCACTTCTGCTCTTGCTGTTCATTATATTGCAACAGTAGTGTTTTTTTATGTCCCGCTTACAACACGTGTGTTAAATTCATTCGGATTTTATGTCTCACACATACCCCACGTCTAACCAGCTGGGGAAAAACAATTTGATTTATGCATCGGTGCTTTGGTGATCTCACAGATCTCCCTAGATAACACAGATAAAAATGTTTAGGGCCCCAGATGGATCAAATTATCAAGACTGTGAGGTTTACGGTGGTGTAGGTACATGTACGCTCGTACGCAGAGAGCGCACAAATGTAAATTAAAAAATATATGTGTGTGTGTGTGTGATACAGATAAAAAGAATATTTATGAATAACGTAGCGGGGTCCATTTTGGACAAAAATGACACTTTTTGTAGTTCTGCTTTTATAGTTTTTACTAGATTGCTGCATAAATGTGAACCTCGGGATGAATCAAGAATCACCGTATATGACCACACATGGGCATAGCTTTGTTGGTTTGAAAAAAGCGAACGAATGCTGAACGACAACACTAATGCCACTTTTAATAGATAAGAATTGCTCATTTAGCAGTGTCTCGTAAAGGAGACCCATGCTGGGGCCCTAAACATGCCCTGCATGTAGTTTTCTAGTCAACCAACCAACCCTGGCCAATATTATAAGAACTGATTTCAATAATTAAAACCAAAAAGAATGACTGTGATACATATTTTAGCTTAGAGATAAAAGAAAATTCATATTTCTACTCTTCACTGTATTTTTTCATCATTTCAAATCAGCGGAAATGACCACGCCGTTAAAAAGATAAACGAAGGCATATACATTGTATGTGCACAGAACTATAAGTATAATGCCCGCTGATTTACTTTCCAGAACCTTACATTTCTAGCTGAATTAAACGATGTGTTAAAAATATCCTGAAACAAATTTATTCCCCAGCCGCAATCAAATACCCTCTACCAAGATCACTGATTAATTTTTTTCACTATATATTCATAGATAGTTCTTTGGTTAAACTGACCGTACTTTTCTGCAATGTAACAGAGAAAAGTCCACAAAATAAAGTCTGCGGCCCTGGTAGAGGGTAGCAATTACCTATGTGCATTCTATAGCGGTTCGTGATCGCCTCCATTCGCGTTACAATGTATTCATTTTCGGAAATGGCCATATGATTAACAAAATAGAAGCTCAACTGGTGCTCGTAGTAAAAAAAAAATTTTGTCAAACTTATTTTGGAGGACCAATCATTTTTTTAAAATTATATTAAACTACTCTATTTTATGCTTATTTTTTCAAAGTTTTTTCTGAGGAGACATATGGCTTTGTCACGATTTTGCACACATGGTGGATTAGCTGCTCTCTCTTTCATTTTTGTGGGACCAATCTTTGGTTTAAATGACACTAAATTACAAAATTTAATGCTTAATTTTTCAACGTTTTCTTCGGGGAGGGCTCCCAAACCCCCACCCGCTGAGAGAAATCCACGATAAACGCTTACGAAGTCCTCGCCGTTCAGACTCAAAACGAGTACCGATTTCTACCGATGTCCGACTGGGATTTGGAAATGATCAGTGAGATGTTGTAATCGAGAACGTTTAACGTAAGTGGAGTGAGTTTCAGTGTGATTTGTTGACTGTCTATATGTTATTATGAATATCTTGCGCGTCGAGGTATCCTTGTTTCGCAAGCTCTTTCTATTTCAATGACTCTATGGGAGCCTATGGGATTTAGCGACATTTGTTAACCGATTTTTATGTTTTTTGTGTGTGTTAGCCTAGTATGGCACTGTAAGATCGTTTTATGTGGTTTTAAAGACTATGCATCCGTTTTTTAAATAATGTAGAGATTTTACGAAAATCGTTTTCTAACCAATCAAGGTGACATTTCTGTCACACCGGCGTGTCAGCTGTGCCAACACGTGAAAGATTTAATGCATATAGTAACGTACACTTAATTTGATCCTTGCTTAGCCCCTGGTTTGCAGTGCATTTCGAATATTTGATATATCAGTCGGTAGACTGGGACAAAATGTAGGGGGTATACAGTATACTACAGTTCCAGAATCAAGAGTCAATTCTAAACATTTTCACAGTCTAATTCCACATTTCTCTTGCATTGCTTAACAATACTTATACCAATTGGCATTTTCCTCATTCGGGGAATGGAGAATTAAAAAAAAAGGCAAATAACACTAACTGCCCATATTGGGCTATAAAACTAGAAGTTTTTTTTCTGAACGCCCATGTATGGCTTGAATGTAAAATGATTCTTTTTCATCAATCATTCATTTCTGCTCCTAAGAACTGAGTCAAAGGTTAAGTTTTATGAAATGAATCAGTGTAGTAAAATGACAAATAATATTTTTTTTTATTTGAAAGAAGTGAGAAAGTTTAATTTGTCTTCAATGCATCTTTTATTCTAGGTATGATGCGCAATATAACTCGTATTATTATTATTATTATTATTATTATTATTATTATTATGATGATGATGATGATGATGATGATG